ACCTGCAAAGTTATTTACTGTCAGGGTGATAATGAAGAAAAATATTTACAGTGCTGCCATCTAAGGAGAATGAGCTGATAACAAATGCAGTTTCCTGACAGACTTGCTTTGTTCTGCATATTGACAAAGCAAAGGGCTCTTTAAAGGAAGGCACCATCCAAAGAAAAAATTTACTTGCTTTTAGATGCAGTGTTTCACACTGGATTATTTTTGTAAATATTTGCCTAATTCTATTATTGGTAGTTATTTTATGGAAGGAAGTAGCCACCTCTTTATAAACAGTGACAAACAGTAAATGAGATGTGGTAGTGTGGCACAGCATTTGTGCCTGTACAAAACACCTAAACCAGTGTTTTCTATCAGTTAATGCAGTGCATACTAAATGTACCACTGGGGTTTTTGGATTCATGGCTACATGCTATGCAATCTCGTGTTAAAACAGTGTTACCACAGGAATGTGTGGCAAACCATTGTAAAACCAGCCAAGTTCTTCTGGGTAGTCTGTGACGTGTTCATGTAAACCATCATGTCTGATGCAATAATGGTTTAGTGGAAAACTGTTTTCTGTTACTCTTCTTATCACGATGTAAAAACTTCTCAATGTCTAGTAATATCTAGTAAGAATAATAAGAACTTACTGTGTTGCATTAAAAGTACTAGCATCCTGCCCATGGCAGGAGGATTGGAATGAGATGATCTTTAAGGTCCCTTCTAACACAAACCATTCTATGATTCTGTGATTCTAGGCATAAGAAGCATAAAGCTCAGCTGACTTACACTGCATTTTCATTGCAGTGCAAGAGTATTTTTAGAAGACACTTCCAGCTTCATATGAAACTTATGTTTTAAACAGTTGAGCATGCTTAGGCTCATATTCCAGATTATACAACCACTACTGTGTTAGAGCTTCTCCATCAAAATATTGCTGGTGAGCTGTTGTTGTAGAACATACAAGAAAATCTGTATTAAATTTTGAAAAGGACTACAGGAATCCTTCAGAAAATGAAGATTTTGCAGTACATTAAATCTGGAGTGTGTTTACATTCATTTTACTAGAAAAGATTATTCTACTCCAGAAATACCTTCCTCTTTCAAGCAGAAGACAAATGTTCAGGTTGTCTTGTCTGATAATAACTGATACCTGGTAAATAAAGATCATGATCCTTCTGTATATCCTCAGTACAGATTTAATGTGTCATAACACCTTCACGTCCCAAACAGTAAAACAGATTTCCCTGTGTTCCATAGCACTAAGCTGCCAGAGGCAGCATTTCCACAGCAGAGTCCTATCCATCAGTGAGAATTAGTGTATTGTAAGTTTGAGAAACTGTTTGAGTTGGTTAAGCTTTCTGTGAAAACACGGTTGGTGCAAGTTTGTGGAATGTTTGCGGGTTTGATACGATGTGTGGCTTCATGTCATAGCATCAGCGTGATTATGACTGAATGAATCTGTGGAAAGGGTAGAGTGCAAGGCTGCAATGGCTAGAAGACTGAGTTCTCCATTGTCCTTAGTAGAGATCAGTGCTGGCCTAGTCGGTGGGGTTTGGATAGCCAAGAGTGACCAGCCAGTAGATGGGCATTTCGGAACAAGCCAGGTCTGTTCAGTCTTTCTGTTTCTGGATCTTGAGTTTTTGCCTCTGGTGGGAGTTCAGATGCCTAAACTTCAGTGTCTTCATTTTGACCTGAATTTCATATACAATAATCAGACTGATATGAGTCATGCATGAGGATTCAGAGTCAAAAACTAAGATTTAAGCTTGTGTAACTGGTGAAGCTCTGTACGGGAAGTGAAGATTAAAATGCTATATGGAGAGCCATTGGCATACCTGGGAACTGAATGCAGTGAACTGAATTCGCCTGAATTTCTAATGCGTTAACAAAGAGATCGTT